TGAAGCGTCGTTTCTAGTCCAACTAGCTCTCTCAGTATTGCTTAGCTCACAACATCCAAACAGATTTTTCGTATTACAGAAAGTACAAAACTACAAGAATTTGTTTACCTAAATAATATCAACTCGGTAGAATGGGCTTTTGAAAAACTGTCAAAATTTTCCGATGACAATGTTCTCAGATGTTCACCTCCCATCTCTCGTCGCAGGGGAATCCTTGAGACCTACGCACACACTTTTTAATATTGCCTAGCTGCCACAACTGAAATTCGCTTCACTGAGAAGATTATCCAGAATCCTATAAGCGAAAAATATTACATGGCTTAAGATGACCTGTGTGCATTCCACTATAGGTGCAAATAGATGAGAATGAACCATCGAATGAATGTGCACTGATTCTTTAACTTTTTTTTTTATTCTTGGTGTCTACAGATGGAAGATTGTTCAGATTCAGGAGTGAAGGGTTGTATTGAGCAATTGTCTCTCGATACTCTTTCGACTCTTAATTGAAGCGAGCTCCAAAGTACATCTGTCTTCAGAAAAGTACAGTCTGATTATATCAAGAGTAAATACCGGATGTACGCCTCGATTTTCAGGCGTGCATCAAGCAAGTGAATATAAACCGAACAATTTTCATGATTTAAACATATGACTCTCCAGTTCCTATAGTCCCGACAGAATGTTGCATATATGTGCAAGAGCTTGACATATCAAACGTTTCCTGCTGAAACATACAAAGAGATTATTGCTTTTAGCTGTAAGTCTGTCCTCCAATGCTTCCTGGTCCAGCTTCTGTTTTTAAACAAAGTGCGAATGGTTGTTACAATAACGATTTCCCGGTTAGCTCGAGGCTCCTGGATGTGAACGGTGGGGGTGAAGAAGGTTTGAGCATAAAGTGCTTGCAGTTGATTTCTTGTTTTGTGGAAACAATTCAGAAGATATTATGTCACAACGAAATAAACGCCGGACAGCATGTAAGCATCCAAAATTCAATCAATAAGCACGGGGAAGAAGCTGCATGCATGCGCAAGCTGATACGCAGACGCGATCAAAGGCATGCTGGGCTACCGTGGCAAGGCAGGGGAAGTAGCTGCATGCATGCGCAAGCTGATACGCAGACTGATACTCCAGCCTGTCTTCCGAAGTCCACGATCGCTCCTTATTAGCCAACTCTCTTCCTAGCTAATTGCAGAGATTTCTGGTGATAGTGATATATTGTTCCTAAATCGACCTTACATGCTACATGGGAAAAAAAGGCTGTTTCCTACACGACGGAGACCCATTGATCTTCTCGACCTCAAATGCGGACTAGGAAATAATTATTTCCTCGGGTCTAAGGGGCTGCAACATCCGAACCTCAGACAGACGACTGAGTTTTGAATCGGTGTAACAAGAATTCATTTCTCAACAATGGAAGATTTGAATAAACTCATGCTTCCCTGCCTGCTTCAATTCTAGACTAGTCAAATAGACATCGAAAATTGGTCTTTTCTGTTTTTTCTGACGTTCGCTGTCACATAACTTGCGCAGAGTGGTCAATTCGTTAACCTTGATGGGAAGAGATTACTACTCACAATTGTAAGAGCAATCACCGGGCCTTCGAAATGGCATCGAGAGCTACAGCTCTACATCAATGTCTGTGAAGACGTATACCCGATCGAGCTTGGCTGTTCGACCGATCGTGCAGTGCACTCTATTCCCAAGATCTTCGTCAAAGGGATCTTGAAGGGAGAAACGTGCACTTGACTGTCAAGAGACACGAAAGTGGCTTCAGCTTGCATCCCCGTACAAGCTTTACGCGCCAGCGCATGTGCGCGCCATCTCAGCCGACACATCGAATATGTGGAATGTACCGAATCGACGATTTCAATATCTGCATTCGAAGTCACGAGATCCATTGAACGGTGACCAGTTCAAACAGAATGCAGGTCGATCCTGGCGAGGTACAGATTACAAGCATACAACTGCACTTTTCTGTTTCAAAAATTGGTTGTCAATACTGCTTCTTGTTTAATAGTTTGGCACCCAGGTCGAAAGATATATCACTAATACAATGTCCGGAATTGAAGCATTTCCTGTAAAATGAGAAATTATGTTGAGAACTCTGTCTTCTTGAAATAGTGGCCAACATTATTACGGAGTTGGGATACAATGTGAGTTTTCAGGACCCAATAACAATAGCTCCTATTAACCATGAACCAATTTAATGCATTGGCTAAAGGTCTATGGAAAGTAACGAATAACCCTAATATTATATCAATGTGAATGAATGCAAAAAACCCTATTTTGAATTCATCTATTTCAGTCAATAGTATTCTTTTCATTTTTCGAAGTAGAGTGTAGCAGGTAGAATATGCGAGGTATTTGTTTGACGATACTTCATCAAAACGTAAATTGTTTAATGGTACCCATCAAGTTTCAATTTATCTGATGGACTCGTGAACAGTGTACCGTCGATGAGTTCTAATACGCGTTCTAGTACGGATATATTCTTGTATAAATGAGTTTTACGAATATTTTATAATTCGTGTTTTTGCAATGTCTTCGACTTCGTGCTATTGGAGTTTTAACAAAATTGGATATGCTCTTACCCGTAAGATTTCTGAATTTATTGAAGCTTTTGGACATTAAGGGTTGCATTCGCGTTCCAAAAACAATCTGCACAAACACAGTGAATCGGATAAATCCCTTTTGGATCTGGAAACAGTAATCTGAGATGCAGGGCAATGTCACTAGTAGTACACCTTCCACCTCCAGTAATCGTGAGTTGTTTCGTCAAACCATCAAATTTCTGCTCTAATGGATCTACAGCACCAAATTGCCACAATGAAGATTTCTACCCACATGAATTGCTGCGGATGAATTTATCCTTGAAACAATGATGTGTTGTGAAGGAGCCGATTGGTGACGACGTGGACTATTCGAAAGGGTATCATCGGGTAAATTGAAACTTGATGTGTACCATCAAGCAATTTATGTTTTGATGGTGTCCCATCAAGCAAATATCTCTAGAACATGCCCCCAGCAACAGTGGAAACAACATATCAAGGAAATTCAGTATTGTGACAAAGACCAAGTGAATACTCACCAAAAACATTGAGAAACAACAAGTTGAGTTCTACAACTGATATTGAAAGTAAATTTCTTTGATTAGAGCTCCGTGAAGTATTTGATGGTTACATGTGATCATTTTGCAATGTTGATATTTAAGATAATGGTATAAGAGATATGTATAAGATTTTGATTGAAAAATTCTACTTTTGGGCAAACAAAGTCGATTGGATGATTTCAAATTAGTCGAAGTGATTTGTAGTGTTCGGATATAGTTGTAAGCACTATACAATTGGGAACTTTTGATAATACAAAGTTGCACGAACTAGAATATGTGCAACTTGTGAGTTCTTGTAGTGTTCGTGACAAGTTTTTAACTTAGTTTTATTGTGCTTTTTATGAAGTGTGCAATTACTTCTTGGAATAATATGTTACGTATTAAATTTGGTTTCCATTTCTCATTTTTGTGCTTAAATCTGAATCTAAATTCTTGAAGCCAAAGATGCTCCTATTGTTCGTATATTCATAGTCAATTTAGTGGTTAGTAAAAATTAGCCAAAAAACTCAACAAAAATACTCGAAGTATGCAATTTTCTGTTACAAGCTTTTTCAACAAAAGTAAATGCAACATATTAGTCCTAAACATATTTTTCATCTTAAAACACGTTTACATGTGAATATAGAACACGTAAACTAATCAAGTATAAAGATATACTGCTCAAGGATGATATTGTAAAGTTTATGATGTTGATCTATAGGGATATGAATAGTGATGTAATTTATAGAATAAGATATTTAAAATATGGAACACTTTTCATATGATGTCTTATATTGAAAATAAACTAAAAAACTAACCAAAGCAAATTATAAATAAAATTGACAAGTTATCATTCAAAATAGTATTTACAGCATTAAATTCATTTCACTGGATGCACGCTAGAAGGTGCATCCATTAACATTGAGGTCACATCAACTGCTCATGGGGATCACACTTTTGTGTATGCTCACAACACGAGAGTTCTCGATACTTATGACAAGGCATCTCTACTTAGGCGACAGTTAGCATGAAGGAATATTTACTAAAGTTGGAGATGATAGTGCAGTGGTACGTACAGTTCAAATTGCCCGTATTAGATTACAATATTTGAAGTCTATAAAAAATTGGTGTCATAGTGAATCTTAGCTAGTGCATGAACTGATATATTTCAAGCTGAAAGTGAGTTTGGCTACTTTGTTCTATGACTAGCAAGGGATTGTAATTGTGCTCTTTTCGAAGAGTACATGTAATGTGATATTACGACTATGAATGTTGTGAAGCTACGTTTATATGAACTAATATACATCTATACATCCAATAATCACACCAACCCATACTCTTCAGCATCACGCATTAGGTCTTCTTTTTAGGGTACGGATCACCCGCCTAACAACTAGAAAATCCTCCACTTGCGATCCACGGCATCAAACGCAAATACTAAACCAGAAAAAACGACTTCCACGCAGTTTGTGAAGTCCACCGAAACAAATGAATTAGTGGGACCCGAACCTAAGCCACAACGCTGAACAAAACAAACCAAAAGCAAATCCGAGGCAGAGTACTTGAGAAGCAACCCCAACCAACAATTAAAAATCCATTAGCAGGTGCTCGAAAGTTTATGTTCTCAAACCGAAAAGACAAACCTGCAGGACATTGCGTTTACCCCGAGGATTACTTTCCTCGGTCGGTAGTTGATCCGTCAGACTGTAATCGAAACAACGATTAGGAGACCGGTAGAAAGGAAGAATGTTTGCCTTGTTTGTTCTCTCTACCTCATCCAAATCAATTTCCAATAAGCGCAATTTTAGGTCTAATATGGTTTTGCATCCCTTCCCTCTCAAGTTTCCTCATGGCCAATAATCAATGTTGATGCATTTGTGGGTTAGTGAGTTCAAGTTCACACGCTTCGGAGCTGAGAGCTTCCAGGGCTCTTCCACGCTGTCCAGTTGGGCACAGGGAAAGTAAACCGGGCTAGCAGTGCAGCACGTAGCACGACTGGAGTCATTGAGAGAGGTTTGTCAAATCTTTTGTACAGCGCCATGTCGCTTATTTATTGGCATGATTCGGTTCCTGTTGCACCACAGGAGGAAGAGTCGCAGGTGACTGCATGGACAGAGAGTCGCTGATTTCAATCCTGCCCCGGCCTCCGCGGCACATGTACGCAGAGGACCTAAAGTTTGGAGCACATTGTATGTAACACAGTTCTGTCGAATCTTAGATTCGAGTGCATTAGATTGCTCTCCCTTCCTTTCGAATGCTCAGCCTCGTGACCCGTTTCACATTTTCTGCGTTCCATAGCTGACATATTGTCGCAGCTAACTGCGGACATAGTCCAATCCTTTGATGAGTTGGTCCACTCCTCGTGATGCTGCATTCAGACTTGCGGATATAAAGTTTCTGGCCTCGGATTCTCGCAGTAGCACTTTTCGGAACACGAAAACAGATCGACGGTCGTTCGGATAAGCACTTCTCAGCTAAAATTCAAATTCTCGTAAAGCTCCAGCTGCAAAAGCGAGGACGGGTGCAAAACAGAGGAGTCCGGAGAGGATTGCAGAAAAATGGGAGTGGTGATTTCGCTACCGATAGGAGTCAGTCGCACACTGGTGGGAGTTGTGCAGAAGTACGTTTTGGGGCAGAACAAACCACTTCGCATCGATCTGCCACTTCCATTCATTCCCATTGACGTGGTTTTGGTTTCTGACTCGACTCAGATCGTGTCCATAACAGGAAATCCAGACGTGGATCGATTGCATGCTCAGCCCACGGAGAAGCTCCCCTTCTGGACTCGATGGTACTTCTCGGGCACTCGGTTTCACAACAAGAGCCACGACAAATGGTTTCTGGCCTTTGAGCCTCAGAGTGAGACTGTGGAGTACAGCGAGAGGAGGAAGCTCATCGTGGATGGATTGAGCACAGGCTTTGTAGACGCTGATGTGAAAGCAATCGCTGATCAGATTTCGAGCAACGCCTCTGAAGAAGCCATTGCTGTTACCATCACCCAGATTGTGAATGGACGGTTCATGGGGCCAGGGAAAGACTCGATTCAATTAGCGCACGTGCAGGAGGCTCGAAATCTATTGCAAACGAGCATCCTCGATGCTCTGGTCCCGGGCCATCAGCAAGCTGGAGTGAAAGCTCAAGAGGCTACCTATGACTTCTGCTCGAAGAACGTCCGGCCCGGTACCAATGTCATGGACGCGGCCCACAACGTTGGAAACACTGCGAATATCGTAGTTTCTGCAATCATGACGCTGAAGGCGAATGTGGACACTCCGATCGAGCATCTGTTTACGAGAAAGGGCAACTGTCCCACTCCCCAAGTGCCCAGGGTCGTCATGAAGGACACCACCTTGAATGGTTTGCTGTCGTATCCCGGGAGACCTTCTTCCACTATCATCCTTATGCAAATCTCTGAAGCAGCTGAACAAACTAACAGCCTCTTCTTCACCTTTGGGACAGGCAGCGAGAGGCGGGTTTGCGCTTTCAAGGACTTCTTCTTCGATTTCATGTCGTCTTTGCAATCTGAACTGAAATCTCGACAAAAGTGATGTACAATCTCGACAAAAGTGATGTACGGCAGTCACTTGTACAGTCCGTCAATGCCATGTTTGTCAGCAGGTGGTTGATTCTCTTAGGAAGCTGACATTCATCATTAATTTGCTTGAACATGTCTTGTACCGTCTCTTATTCAGAGCGTGGGAAAGAATGCCCGAAGAGAAACATTCTACCTCAAGTCCGTCATGCATCTGAATCTGTCAGGCATGTCATTGGCTGTCTCTAATAGATAGGCCCAGTTTGTAAATAGAACGCTCCCCAAAAATCACATGCCTTGTGTACATAAACTCCCCATTATTTGGTGACGGGACGAAAGTTCTCAGGATTTCGTATATAATATCTGTAAATTTTTATTAAATTCTATAAGTTCTCAAATTTGAGAAACTAAATCTTTGTACTAGATATGAGCATATTTGGAGCAAGTGTATTCCCTGCAACAGAAGTTTGATGCTGCACGAGTTAACTCCATGTGCTTACTGTTAGTAAGTGTTAAAGGTGACATAGTGGAGTATCAGTTTGAAAATACTTATAATACCCATTAATTTTTTATATATATATATATATATATATAAAAGAGTAAAATAAGTGGACGTGCATTACCTTAGACAGTGAAGCAGACAGACAGACAAATCTTGAAGCAGAGTTGATGAAACTTCATTGAGAAGAATGAACTTGAGAGAGAATGTGTTAAGGTGCAGAAAAAGGGGGCTAGAAAATAGGTCACAACGGATGAGACAGAAATCTTGAAGCAGAGTTGATGAAGCTTCATTGCGAAGAATGAACTTGAGAGAGAATGTGTTAAGGTACAGAAAAAGGGGGCTAGAAAATAGGTCACAACGGATGAGACAGACAACGAAGCCAAGGAACGAGAAGTCGAACAAGAGTTTGGTTCCTGCAGTGAGTGCCAGTGAAATAACTCTGAATCCTGAATTATCTGAACATCACGCAGACTTTGCGATAAATTCCCACAAATTTAGGCAGCAGATGTACGAAAGATTTGGTCAAGATATTCCACCTTTTCACATCAACATAATGATTTACTGACACTCTTTAATTACTCAATCAGTATGAAACACTACTACTTTTAATCTTTCTATTCCTGCCAGTCTTCCCGATAATGTAGTCGACTCTTGTGGCATGCTTTTCAAATGGTACCAAAGGAAAACGTGCTGATGGAGAATGACTTTTTCCAACGTTTTTGAAAAGCGTTACGGAGATTTCCGCGTAGGGGATATAGCTTCTAAAGACCAGATACCCTGTGTTGACTGTAACCTTTGTTCTACTCAAAATCTCGGGTGGCTTACTTGTCTCCAATCTCATAACTGACTGAATTCATAGATGACGAGCACCACTGACAAGAGCATGCACAAGGCAAAGAACGCAGGGCATTCCACCTTCATTAACATTGGATAATCTGTATTTTGATTCTATCAGTTGTACGAAGATTGGAAGCCGTCTAAGAAAGGACACTTTCGCAGGTCTGCACCATCGCACAAGGTATCCCAGCTGACAGCTTCTTCCTCAGAACATAATCACTAAGTAAAACGAAGGTGAAAATCTCACGGTTGTTGCAAGTTATGAGCAAAAAGTTAAGCCTGGTGCCAGATGTGCACAACAGTGTACGAGGACAGGACCAAATTAAGAGGCGGAAAACGAAGCTCCTTTTCTTACTCAGTACTCTGACAGTAAGAAAATGACAGGTTCCAGGGTGTCTTAAAACACCGCTGTGCTGCCCTTAAAAATGACGCCAGAAAGATATTTTATCACTGAAGCTGGAGCTTCAGGCTTTGCATCTCGACGACTGTACTTCACAATCTATGGGGAAGCCAGCGTAGCTCTTGCTTGGTAGAGTTTGGCCCCTCCGTCTTTACCTTGCCAGCAAATAACAATACATTGGGCCCTTATCACCCTCAACCTGTAAAGTGCATGCTTTTGATCAAAATCATACTTCCTTCAAGTGAAGCCCATCGTGACCTCGAACCAAAGAATCTGCCCACTCCCGAGAACCGGTAACCTGAAGGATGAAAGTATGCTGCTTCAGAAGCCAGCCATCATCTACTGTTGTGAAGGATCAGACTCCTATGATGGACTCCACAGTTCTGGTTACTAATGTCATGACAGCTGAGCTGTCTCATCCTGTTCGACGAGCTCGTGACGGAGAGGAGCTGAGCACGATTCTTAAGGTCAAACAGCTTCGTAACTATTTAGTATAGCCTTGAAAACACACAAAACATTCCAAAAAGTCTGGAACCACAATGATGATCTTAACCTTGACTACAAAGGTGACATTGGGAATCATCAACGCCATCAAAATTCATGTCTCAGAGCTTTGCAGTCTTGTAGCCTTCACGAAAGCATCAAAGCTTCCAGTGGTGACCGTCAAGGAAATGTACTGGAAAGCACTGCCAATGAACTGGTGTGCCAGTTTAGACGATCAAACATGAGTCTGTAAGATAGAAGGAAATCAAAATTGCAATGTGAATTTTACAGTACAGTTGTCATCTATGTGGTGACTGAATAACTTCGAGCATTCTACTTTCATCTACAACGTTCCCGGACTATACAATTTGAACAAAGGAGTGGAACTAATCAATGTTCAAGGGGACTCCTCTCCGTGCTTTGATGGTAAGGCAGTGCTTCTCTTCGCAACTCCTATTCCAATTCCAGCATTTTGGGAGCAAGCTCCAGCAATGGGTCCAAAGTATTGGGAGAAAACTTGCGAGCGAAAAAGTAGCAGATCTGATGCGGTATACCGTACAGGACACAGTTCCGATCATCTTGTATTCTTTGTATAAGTTCTGGTCTAATATCGTGCTTGTTGAACATAGCCGGATGAGAGCCACCACGAGACCAGTCTACTGATGTTACGCTGCGATTGGCGATCTCATTCGGAAATTCAATGAACATCATGGTGGTGATGTAGTGCTCGTCCACATAGCAATTCGGCTTGCAAAAATCGCGAAACTTGGGATAGTACTTCGTGTCTGACACGATGAAGACGGCGTGTTTTCGACTGACTTCGAACCACTGGGCACCTTTCCGCCACTGCTCGACTGCAACTTCCGGCTCCATGTTGGGGTTGTATCTCCCTCTACCAAAGGGCCCGGGATCGTCAAACGCACCGACAAAACTGGCCCTGGAGTTGATCACATGGTCGTAGAACATTGTGAAGTTGAATACTGGTATGCAACTTTCTGAGAGAAGTACAAATCGCTCGTTTGAAAAGTCCAGCAGCGCGTTTGCCAGCAGCCTCCTCTCCGCATCGCACATCGACATTTCACCCCATCGTGCTTCCTGCAGAGAATTTCCACACAGCATCAAATAACTGCAACCATTCGCTCCATCCAAAAGCTACCCCACTGAAACCAGCAAGCACTAACATGAATAGAAAACAAGTCGCAATTCCACACAGAACGGAAACTATGCTTCCAGCAAATTTATAACCAGTCCTCTGTCTAAACAGGGATGCATCTTTTTGTAAAAGGGAATGATGTTTAGGATCCATCCAACACTATTAAGACCATCGAAGAGCAAAAACAATCATCCCGTTTTCTTTCAATCTACTCGACCGTACGGTGCTCAGAACATATGATCTAACGAAAGTACAATCTGCTCCAAGAAGTCCGTTTACAGGTCATGTAAAGTCAGTTGCGAGAGCAAAAAAGGAAGTAATTATGCGATGGCAAACCTGGCTTGGAATTTGCCGGCCATAGAAGACCGACGAGTAGGGAACGTCCAGGCGGAATCCCGGAGTGGCATGTACATAGACGGAAAACAGATCTCGATGACCTTTGAAGTATCTTTCCCACAATTTGTACAGAGGTAAAGGCCCTTTCGTCAGAAACATAAAAGCGATTTTGGGAGTTCGAGTGATGGGTAGGCCAGCCCTTTGGGGAGTTACTGACGCTCTCCAAAGCAATTCTTCATCACCCATTTCGTGATGTAAGCTTTTGGGGAGGAGCCACTCCTGCGTGGGGTTGCTCGGCATCCAATTGCTGAATCCATTCCGACAGTGGTTCGTGAACACATTCCCTTCAAAGTAGCCCAACATGTGAAGGCTGGCCATCACCCCGAGAAGAACGCCCGAACCCAAGAGGATGAAGAAGAATAACACGCTCGTCAGCTTGGGCACCCATTCTCGCTTCCGACCCGGCTCCTTGGACTGAGAGGGAATCCTCGAAAGCCCACTCTCCTCTGCGATCAACATGCTCGAAGATGATGTACGATTGTTCATGTTGACCTACTCTGCCACTTGGCAAGCTCCAAGATTGCTGTCGCTCCTGAGGCCACCTTATACGTGCGATCCTCGGGGCATAAAAAGCCTCCAAAACTACATGTCCAAAGGGGTTCTATTGCACGCTCAGGGCGTTTCAATCCCCCTCGATCACTTTCCCCGACTCTGCTCGTCCTACGAGCGCCTTCAGCAAATCCCTTGTCTGAGCTGCCGACAACCTCCTCGACAAATCCTCACTCTCCCTGTAGGGAAATCCAGATTCACAATCAAAACCCTTTCCCACCACCGAACCGCCCTCCGTTGACTTGGATATGGCCCTCTCGGTCGATGATCGACCTAGCGAAACCTACTGGGTTTTGAATTCCGTAGGTGCAGATTCGTAGACTATGAACATTATGAACGATCTATGTACATCAAAGCCACACTCGTAGTCAGACAAACTCCTCCTCCTCTCCCAGCCTTGGAATTGGGGTATCTAACGACGAGAGAAGGCAGAGGCAGAGGCAGCACTGCCGAAGAAGTCTGCGGAAAATTCACTCATAAAACTGATTGACCCAAAGAAGATTCAGCTGAAAATTGTGCTCTATGGGAGATTACACTCTTTCGTAGGCCCGCTAATGGACGGCTCTCTCCTCGACCATCGACGCTCAGCTGGGAAACTAGCACCGGGCCCAACCCAACTGCTTGCAACCTCACCCCTTCCAAAATCTCAGCTCAGAGAAGGAATCTCCCCTGATCGCACCTTCACAGGATACTGCCCACACTAACTCAATCCGCATAACACCTGTCACCCGCATTCAAACAAAAGTGACCGACTGATCAGCTCCAAGTCTGAGGGCGGATCCAAACTTCGAAGCCTTGCAACCCTGTGAAGACATACACAGTCGCTTCCACTGTGCCCGGGGAAGCCTTCTCTCCCAGGCGAGTTTCTGAGAAAGCAGAAGCTAGGTGGACGGAGGAGCACCGCGTGAGAAAGTAAAAGATGCGGCGAATGAGAAGCGAATGCTCCTAAAGTACTGATTTGCTTTGTTTCCTCAGACCCGGAGTCCGCAGTCCGCGGAGTTTTCCGCTTCCAGATTCAAAAATCACTCCCTCGTGAAAGAAAACGCAGGCGCCATGGCATGCTCGAGAGCCCAAGCACGCAACCGGCACAGAGAGCAACTACATTCAAGCTACTCGCTCGCATCATCCTTCCATCTGAGCGCTCACCAATTACATTCGTGCTTGCGATCATTAAACTAATCGCAGAAACCGAGAAACTTGGAGACAAAGTCCACCATCCCCATCGCATGAACAATACCACCCACGACAAGACGACTCTCGCCTGGCAGTGGTAGCAGCCCCCTCTGCGCTCTGCCCCTCCGCCTTGTCCTTCTTCTTCCTCTCCTCTCCGATCGAGAACCAGCAACAGCTGCCCCCGATCGACGCTCCAATCCCGACCGGATTCAACCGCTTCTCATTCTTCTTTTCCCCACGGTCTCCTCCTCCTCTCGCCAAATCCTCGGGAGCTGCTGCTAATCTCGCACGTCCGATCGTCAGAAGTCCAGTGAGGGGCAGGAGTAGTGGAGGTCCCCACAAGGCGCAACAGCTCGGACTTGTTCGTGAAAATCTGCACTGGCCTGCAGGACTGCAGCAGTGGTCACTGTGATCGTGACTGGCTGACCGACTTACGGCCGCATGCGGACCTTTCCCTCGCAGCACAGCAGTGCCCGACAAGGTCTCTTTAAATTAAGACGGATCTTAATATTCTCATGATTGGCAGGCAGGGCTTCCGGAGCTTCCCTCTCCTCCTCCTCCTCCTCCTCCCTCTTCTTCTTCCTGTCTGTCGTCCTACACTCTAAGTTAGGGTTCCTCTACCTACTCTCTAACTCCTCGTCACGCGCAGCCCTCCACATCGAGCTCTTCTCTCCTCTATCTGTTTCTCAAGTGTCCTCGAGGATTTCCGGAACATTGAGACTCACGATTCTTTCCTATTCTTGACTACAGAGTTCTTTTCCTCTATTCCCCCATCTTCGATTTCCACTCGATTGCGGTCTCCTCGAATTTCGCTCCGTAGAACTCTTTTACGACAAAATTGATGGGATATATTAAGTAGAGATCTGTCGACACGTTTCCCTTACAGAGCTGGATATTTCACTGGACTTGGCTGAGCATTCTTCTCCATGAATGTCGCTCCGTAGGACTATTTTACGACAAAATTGACGGAATTTCTTAAGTAGAGAAGTGTCGACACGTTTCCCTTACAGAGCTGGATATTTCATTGGACTTGGATGAGCATTATTCTCCATGGGGTGCATCCCGTGCTGACATTCCTCGGCTTAAAAACTGGTGCAATCAACTATGAGAAGTAGGGTTTTGAATGTGATAATCTGATAGTACATGGGGTTTAGGAGTCGTGACATTAGACGCAATATCCTCCACGGAGTCCGCTTTGTGCGAGCATGACATTGACCTTCGGCGTGACTTTTGTCCCTGCAATTAATCTGGTGGCACTAGTAGACACACATTCACTTGCTTTTTAAGATTCCGATTAGCTACAATGAACAGGCTACGCCAGCATGATGATATTTAACTTGCTCTATGCTTTAGAGATTATGATGCCTTCTAAGTAAGGTATAAAACTTTCATATACAATATGCTTCCTCTTGCTTTTGTCCACAACTTGAGGAACAATCCTTGACATTCTCTCAAGTCTAGGTTTCACGTTTTGTTTGTTGTGAGAGCCGCTGACCAGCAAGTGTGTTTTATTTATCGTTCTTGTCACTCCATCGCTGTTCATTCATCGAGGAACCTCCATAACAACCTACTTTGGGGAGTTTTTTGCGAACAACATAAAATTTCATGACTCCTGCTCTACTCAAATGGTAGAGTGGTGAAAGCATGCATGAAGAAAATGTTGCATTAGCGGTACCTACTCGTCGATTATGCCCGGACAACCTTTTACACCGACTACCGCTTGTACTTGCTCTGGCAAATTCATCCTCGAACAATATCCATCTCGTATTCCAGGAAGGCAGGAGTAGCCTAAGGAGAAAAGTAACCTCTCAAGGGCTCCCTTCGTTGCAGACTTTGAACTGGTGAAGCTTTATCATGTCATCTTTCGTCTCAGTAATTTGCACCAGTGATTCAGCCCTTCGGCTCTTCTTCCTTTGTGTGCATGCCTTGTCATCACCGCTCATATCCGATTATTATCTCAGTAGATTCAGAAGGTTCGAAACCTTATTCTCCAAGTCTACACTATTTATTGGTTAGAAGTCCATTTTTGACCCGGTCTGCTCTGGACCCATCATTCTACTCATTGGCTCTAGTCTTCTCTTTAAGCTCAAGTGTAACACTGAACTCAGCTTTTCCTTCTGATTGGAAGACCAATCAGTACGCCCAGAAATTACCACCGAACCGCCCAGATATCACCGTAGTGAGGAAGAAACCCTCCGTACATTTAGATGAACTCTTTCCGAAATGACCGGCCTAACTGGAATGTGCTCACTACCAGTGATACACACTTTTTGGAGTTTGGTTTATACATCCATATGCATCCTTTCCAGACAAATGAAAAGAGGGAGAGTAGTGCAAGTTCACATGAAAATTGCAGCAGACAAAAAGGGTTAGTAACGGGTTCAAAATCGGGGGTCAAATACTGTCGAGATATCCGTGCCAAGTTAGTGCCATATTTAGAAAGGATAGTACTCCGAGTGGACCGGTTGGGTCAAGTACCAAGATCCATCCGCAGAGAAGTACTTGTACATTTCTCAAAATTGTTCAAATCTTTACGACAATTTTTTCCACCTGCATCAATTTTCTCATATAGAAATTTCTCTTCTTCTCACTATTCCAAAAGTATTCCGTCCATATGCTCGAGCAAAATAGCATACTATATTATGATGCTCTCTCCACGACGCAGACAAAAACAACAAGAATTTAATGAGAGTCAAATGGTACTCCGGCCCAAATCGCTAGAACATCTCGAGAGGTGCTCTTGGAATATGGCCCTTGGATTGCATTTATTACACTCCACGTAGGCGCCAACTCAACGCGACGTCATGGAGCATTCAAAACAAGACTTCGTTTTAGTACTTGGTACTCCGGTGTTTTGTAAAGCGAGAGAATACCAAAACTGAAGATCGGACGGTTCTACTTCCTGCACACGCGCAATTTTGATAAGAGTACTTGACCCTCGCTTTTGTAAAGACCCCCTAAGTTTGGGTACAATGGAAGAAGAAGTTCCTTCTCTATTGAGATGCGTCATCTCCAACACGGTATTTAAACTTGTATGTTATGCAAACTACACCACTATCATCACTTGAATGAGAACTAATGATAGTCTAGCATGAGAGTCATACGTTTTCGCTTTGATGGGGTAGCATCCTAATATACGGGATATATCGTGGATAAGTATAATAATTTTGTAAGGAATGGATCAGACGGTTATATTTTGAGCTTATGCATTTAGCGTTTTTGTTCTTTATTTCCTAAAGTTGTGTACCAATTTACACACCACCTAGAAATCTCTATTATGCTCATTACATGTTCATTGATTGTGCTCTAGAAGGATTTATTCGAACTCGTTAAAACCCATGTATATACGAGAAGATCATGAATCTCAAAACTAGGATGCTACTCACTATCAAAAGGTTGATATCACCATGCAACCCAAGTCAAAGTTGACATGAAAAAAAGTCACTCTTACACAAAGAGACAAACTCACATAGGAATCAACAAAGAATGATCAAAGACGAAACTTCGAAGTCTTACTACGTAGTGCAGAATATCTTAAGGACAAAAACCGAACCGTTTAAGACAGGACAAACTTGTGAGACGTTTCAGCACAATAAATACAGTGTTGTTATGGACATGGTATAATCAGTACTACGTGAGTATACCAACTACGAACTATGTAGAGATTGTTCTACATAGTTCGCACCGAAAAAAGTTTGATTGTTTATTTATTTCTAAATAGCCTCTTTCTTTATAGGAAAAAAACTTATTTGTCACTTTTGAAAATATATTCAAGAAATCTTTATCAACTTCTATGTAGGAAAATGGATTCCTCCTGTTCTGTTATTGGTCCGTTCATTTCCATTCGAACAAGACTAACAAGAACCCTCACAATCTCTGTAGCTACAATGGTAGACGTAACTGTAACTGTTACTATGGTTACTATCTGATCACTGTTTCTGCTTGGCACGAAGACGATGAGTATCTCATGTCTTCATCTTTAGCTCATATACCCAAGTGTACTTGTATTCTTGCTTTCTCCACATTATAATAGTCTATTGTTGATATTCGACCCCGGACAAACTCGGCCTCTGAGCATTCCATTTCAAGGACAAATACTGGCAAGAAATCCTGCTGGAATGTCTGTACAGTTTAGTTTAGTATGGTACTCACACTTGTGCGTTGGTTATCAGCTTTTCGTAAAGTATACTAGGTGTTGACCTTTTTGTGTTCATGGCAGAATTGCCTGGCAAGATATCATGGATAGTTTCTCTGCCTTTGGATGCGGCGCAACAGAGAAAACAAGAGACCAAATAAGGCGATCGGCGAGGGAGAGCCGAAAGCTTTCTTCTGGTGGCTCTCGCATAGACTATAAGTAAATGATATATACTAATGTTTTAAATCCTGCACATGGGTCCAGTGTCAGCTGGACAATCATTTTAGAGCTCGTCCCGTAAGTCTACTCGAATCAGGTCGTATGCATACCGTGCATTTTGCCATGTTCGGTGAATCCTGTCCGACTGGTGATAGGAGACTTGAAAATTAATTAGCTTCCTTGATACGGAAGGTTTTGGAGAAGCAAATAGAGAAGGTTTATGCAACGTATGGTAAACGTATGCAGTCTTCAAAATTCATTCCCAAATAATGAAGGAGACATCCAATTTGTTTGACTTGAATATCTGGATTCAACTTCAAAAAATATTATCTTGAATCTTGAAATTTTTAAATTAAATTGAAGACTGAAGATTATTTTACCAACATGTCAGAGACATGGTAGAGGGATAAAATACAACATTATTTTTCACAAATATTGATTTCTAATTTCTTTATTATCTAAAAACAAGTCTCCTCACCGTTATGATTTCAAGCATGGTTGTACAACAAGAGATTAATATTTAGTTTTATTATTAATGCAATTTTCTATAGAAAAATTGTAGATAAAAGAAGACCGAATTTGGTATAGATTCAACACCACATTTGTAATGTTTCCAAAAAATCTGAGAATCAATCAGTTTTTATTACTTAAAGCAGATCATATGGAATAAAAAATTCTGCTGGGTAATTTTACTATAAATATATGAAATTTCCCAGATAATTACTTAATGTGTTCATAATAAGTTAGATTGAGTTAGAATATATAATCTTTATCAATTGTAATTCGTTGTATATATACATTGAATAAGTATTTATTTATCTCATTTGTAAGGCTTCAGACTTGTATAAACATCATTTCATGACAACAAAAATTCAAAGAATTCCGTACATATATTTTTATCATAAAATTTAGAAATTTATGATGGGAAATCAGATTAATGAAGATCATGAAAAATTTGAAGGCCATTCAAAAAATTTCAATTTTATAAAATTAGGATGATTGATTGAAAGATCAAAAAATTTATAAAATGAAATTTAGAGTGTATTTAATTAGAATTTTTTATATTTCTGTTCAAATTTGAAATTGAAAATAGACTTTGTAATACCTATATGTTTTTTAAAATTATAAAAGAAGTAAAGTTATCCGAAATTTACAATCAATTCATATGAAACATACATTGAATTTGTGTTAAATCAGAAATTAGACTAATTCAAAAGATTTGAAAAATGAACTCAAAATA